TTCGCCGAAACATTCTTGCAAGACCTCATAACTTGATTGAATTTGTGTTTCCAGGGTTTGATTTGTTTCGTCCATTCGCTGCAACATTCTTGCAAGACCTCTAACATTGAGCTTTGGGGTAGAAGGGGTCCTCGTGGTTGAAAGGGTTTGAATATTTCGTCCATCTACGGTAGTAGCAAGGACGCTACTAGGAGCAAAGGGCATCGCTGCTAGGAGCAAGGACGCTACTAGTAGCTCCTGGCCGTACTACTAGGAACAAGAAACTACTAGTAGCAAGGGGCATTACTACTCTCTCCTTCACGTTCAATCAACTCGTAAAAGAAATCGTTTCTCGATTTGTGGTTCGAACGCCATTACGACCGGTAACTGCCTGTTGCTCCTTTGAATGGAAAACGAGCACCCTTTTTTAATGCGATATCTTGGGTCTCAACCTCAGCCATGCCTCAGCCATCCCTCGGCTCTGCTCTGCCCTGCTCCGCACTCTGTGCGCCTTCGCCTTCACTAAGATCTCTTGGAGTTGCCTTGCCTGGAAACAAACGAGGAAGAGGACATGCGGAGAGTAGACCGATCGACATGTTGTCAAATTCTGGGAAATCTCACGAAAGTTCCCAACTTGTCTCCAATCCAATGCAAACTGCAAATTCCAAACTCTGGCATGCTCCCAGAGGATTGCCTCGATGCTCGCTGCGTCTGCAGTAGTCTTGGCCAAGTCAACCTCTCAAAATGGTCTCTGCATGTTTTGAACATCTTCTGATTTGCATGCAATTTCTTTATCTTTCTCTTTCTCTCTGTTCCCTTTAGACCTGGAAGCTTGGGCTCTTGGAAGAGGAATATCCCATCTACCGATATCCATGTTGCTTGTGGGGAGCATTCAAACAGTTCAGACTAGTGACTAATGCATATAAATTGCCCTTGTAGCCCGCTGTGCAAAAATTTGCTCCCAACTACAGCTGTCATAGCCTTCAGTGATGAGCATAGTGAATTCTAGTGGATTAGTGGATATTATGCAAGGCTTTCATGGTCTGCAAACCTCCACCTCGTGAGTAACAATAAGCTACTAGTAACAAGTGCCACGCTAGTAGTAACAAGTGCCTTACTGGTAGTAACAGGAAGCTACTAGGAACAAGTGCAAGTCCAAATCTACAGAGCTCCTTTCTCCGATGTTTATTGTTTTTGTTGATGCGGGCTTTAGAAGTTTGATGGAACCTGCAGCCTTGAAGGGGTTCTTTTTCATCAACGTCTGAGGTCTCAACTGGCTCCTTGACAAAGAACTGTTTACATGTTACTTGGTTGTTTGATTGTGGAAATAGAAGTAGCATTGAAAAGGACAGGTAGTTTGACAAGCTAAAGTAACACAATGTTCAAGATGTTTTTGGATGTTGATCCCTTTTCAGTCCAAGGAAAACACTTTTACCGTTCATGTGTGACTGTTGTCAAAACGTGCAATGGAATATTTTTGTTAGCAATAGGTTGTAAGGGCATTGGCTTTAAGAGCATGCTGCAAACAACATAGTCTGGTACATAGGCTGGTGCAAGCTGAGTATTAAGCCTCCCTTTTGATGTCCCGTCCTGCCCCCCCCCTGAGGCAAGGCTCAGCCAAGTCCCTTACAGCCTGTTGGTAGCAAGTATGTTTCATTGCAAGTTTTGATAACAGTCGCACATGAATGGTAAAAGTGTTTTCCTTGAACTGAAAGCGGATCAACATCCAAAAACATTTGAACATATTGTTGCATTTGCTTTGTCAAACTACCTTTCTGCTTTTATTTGCACAAACGAAAACGAATCAAAATAGGATTCCAAGACATGACAGGATTTTAACATATTTTAAAAGTCCTTTATGAATGAGCCATTCAAATGTTTGCTAGGCAGCATCCAGCACCTGGGCACCTCTTTCTGTGTCTTCGAATCAGAAGGCTGGACTCACTTGCCCATTGCTGCTTTTACCAACAAGAACAAGAACTAATGTTTTAAATGGAGCTGTTCTTTCTTCCTTCATTCTCTTTCTTTTCTGCCTTCCTGTTGACCTTTTGAACTTCTTTTTTAGGAAACCAAACGAAACTCGTGACCATCTCGTGATCCTCATGGCTCTAACACCGCCCTGTTGCCTCTTCAGCTGCTTGCTGCAGTCGGAGGAGCACTGACTGACGCTCCGCCTGTGAACACACAAGATCACAAGACCAACCTAGTAGCGTCCGATCGCTCCTAGTAGCGATGCCAGGAGCCCCTAGTAGCTTCTCGTTCCTTGTAGTAAGGCCAGGAGCCCCTAGTAGCGTCCTTGTTGCTAGTAGCTTCAAACGGTTCAAACGGAACTCCAATGGCAAGCTCAAACCTCAAACTCCACACTTGTCAAGCGCCGTTTGTGGAACTGCTTCACTTTGCGCAAAGCTGGATCAAAAGCTGAGCGCCAGC